ATAATTAGCACTTGAAAAGGTAGGAGTTTATAAACATGCCTTACTACGGCAATATTAACTATGCAGGCGTAATCGATTGAATAGAATTTTAATTCGGGTTTGAAGTTTCTTTTAGGTGCACGTTTTTTGGTAGAATCGATGCTACGTGAAGATCGTTTATATAAATTTTTATGTGGTTTTCTTTCTCCCAATTCGATACAGCTGACAATTTTTCATAGCTTGTGAAAGTGCCACCGAGACGCAAAGTGTCTTCATCTGCCATCTTGAAACCTGTCTCTTATACACATCTAGATGTGTATAAGAGACAGAAAAAATATTTGCACATGCTCAATAGGACGTTTTCGTACTCACGAAGCAAGCGGCGCCCTTCAAATAGATCGGCGTAAGCATAGCCTATGATTAATGCTTACGACTCGGCGTAAGCATAGACACTTCGAATTAATTAATTAGGCTAGGCCTAGGTCTATCTAGTTAGTGAGCAGTTAAATAATAGTTACCTGCAGTTGGAGTATATTTTAAATTGCCTATTCTAATCATACAATCATGATGGGGGTTGATGTTATCAAATTACACAATCTTAGTCTTACTTATAATTTACATTACTTTATTTTTAATGTGCTACTGATTTGTTAGCTTAACAATTTAAACATGTAATGTAAAATGACTTACTTTTGACAGTTTCCCAAAAGTTTAAAATGAAATGTTTGTATTGCAATCAATATAGAATCTAATTATGTAAAAGTTAGTCATGGCCTGTGTTACTTGCAGAAACTTCAATGATCTGAAAATATAATGCCTAAACACTGTTCTTCTTTCAAGGTCTTGTTGTGGGGTAAAATCCATAAATGCACCATTATGAAATTTGGTCTCAATTTGATAATGGAAGTAGTTAATGCAATGCCATGTTTTCTTTAAATTTTCCCAGGAAATTTAGCCCTATTAAGTCAAAAAATTTATTATATAAAGCTTGGAAAGTAGTGTTTTTTTCTCTCTCTTTCATGCTTAATAAATTAATATTTAAAACCTTAGCAGAGATCATTACAAATATAGTATAATAATATAAAATGAATTATTTTTCAGGTAGTATACCAAAAGATGAAAACGATTCTAAAAAACCGAACACTAACGAAGCAGCTGAAGAAATTACAATACCAGTACAAGGTGTCCTGAGCAAGGAACAGATTTCAGGTCTCATAAAGCTTCTGCAAACCAACGTTGATGATAATGTTCTTCAGAAAATTCTGACAACAATCGCAAATGCTTCAGCATTCCAGCAGAATCAGGTATTACTGTCAAGTGTTTTGATTTTTTTGATTAAATGACTACAGCCTTTGTCAGGGATTGCAAGCAATGGTGTAATGATGATTCAAGGGGCCTGGGGGAAAGAAAGTGTTGGGTCCCTATGCATTTTGGTAAATTTATAGGAGTGTCACAAAATTGGCAGAGGGCCCTTTTTACCGAAAAATATCACTAATACCAACTGTAGCCTTGTAATATTATTGCTACTGTACTATAATTTGATTTAAATTATGTGTGAATTCTAGTAGCTCTTTACTTTTGGGTTGGGAATTGATATAAAAGAAGTGTTGTCATGTGAGTGCACATTTTGCATTCATGAGTTAAAAGAAACAAGAATGGCATTTTTTTCATTGCTGGTTTTGCGTGTCTACTGGTTTATAATGTCAAGGCCCTGTCGTCCAAACCGTTTCTCGAAAACCCATGGTATTTTGTGTTTATTTAATACTGTATTATCAAATGTCTGATAAAGTTATCACCATGCTCAGCAAAATGAAGTTAAATATGTTAAGAAAGCTCATTTAAGAAAGTCTACATTAATACCAGATGTCTCAGAAGTGGCTTCTTTTAAGTTAAGAACCACGCTACAGTAATAACAAATATTCATCATGCTGTTTGCGTTTTTTCTATTGCTATTAGGATTTGCTCCGGGAGATGAACGGAATTGAGCCGATTGTAAATATGCTGAGGTCTTCCACGCCATCATTGAAGACCTCATCTGCAATTGCTGTTGCAAATCTTTCCCTCAACCCTGAGAATAATGTTATTTTGCAGGTAAAGTATAGATGTTGAATTCAATTTACCATCAGCTCACAGTTTATTTCCCCCCTTGAGGTTTGAGCCCATTCACATTTTTATTTAAAACAATTCACTCTTAATGTTAGCCCACCCTTTATTTTTGTATTTCATTCCATACAAGTTAAATGGAAAGTCTACATTAATATCCAATTCACAGACATGTGCATCCCTCAAATGCATGTGTTTGCATACGTTACAATATCTGAAGCTGGGAACTCGCTGAGTCGTAAGACGGGGTTATAACCGTCTGTAGACAAATCCAACCCCACTTCCGGTGAGTGCTTGGCGACACGATGCCGACTGCTGATTGTCAGTGGCAGTCTGCATGGATCGGCATTAAAAATGACCAATTGCGTGTACCTCGTGGCGTTGCATTCTGCACAGAATCGCATCGCTCAACGGCCATCTTGCGCTGTGAGTGCTCAGCTTAAGAGACGGAGTTTAGCAGAAATGTCCATTGTAATCCATGTGAAAGATCATCAACTCAATTTGTTTGTGACTTACTTGCTTCTTGCTCACGCTTGTCTACTTACTTTCATGACAGTCTAGGCTTGCATCTCAAAACTTGCCGCTTTAGAATATTTTATGCTCAAAATAAACATTTAAACTGATAACAATAAGGATAATCAAAGCTGAAAGGCGCTTTGGATCTTTTGGTTTTGGTAAACCCAATTTAACGGTGAGTAAGTATACTTTTAGGATCCTTTTCCAACACTCAATAATAATAATAATATTTGCATCAGTACAGTGTGTATTTTATTCTTTTTATATTTCCAGTAGTTTTCTCTATGATTTAATTACTCAGGAAGTTACCTACAAATAGTAAATATAAATTAAGCTGAAGAGATTACTGTGTAATCAGTACATTATTTTTTATAATAAATATATAAGAATTACAATAAATACCAAAAAACTAAGATATTGTTTTAATGTACTGTGGTAATGTTTGACTTCATTTTTAGGAGTGTATTCCAGACTTGTGTAGTGTAATCCTAATGAAGGACGTAGAAGTTGCCCAAATATTGGCTGCCCTTCAAGCTCTGACGAACCTGTCCCTTATCACTCCCTGCAGTTCCTTCTTCCATCAGTCTATCCAATGTTTATTTGACCTGTTGAGTGTGGACGACCTGACCAATAATGTTAAACTACAGACTTTGAAGGTACTGGTCAATCTGTCTTGTGATGAGGCTATGATAGAGTCATTGTTAAAAGCTGAGGTATGGTGCATTCATAATAAGTATAGAATTTTATTATACTTTATCTGTTTTTATATTTTATCTGAAAGAAGGTTAGTGAAATAATATTTTCGTTTATTTGTTCGACTCATTATTCTTATTGTAATTCTAAGAAGTAATAACAAATTATGATAATTTTTTTTTATGCATTAAAATGTGATCTATTTGTGTTTTTATTATCTCTACAACCTTTGGTTTTTATAATTTAGGGCTTTTGTTAGAAAATATGGAAATTAAAAACAGAACGTCCTTTTATTTTCTTTTATTCTCTTTTGTACTTCCCAGAATTTTTTTTAACAAATTAAATTTATATTTACAAAAATGTGTTTTATTTTCTTAGCTAGATTTGTCCCAGAAATAATTTAGTTCTTGTTATTCTAGACATCTTTTTAAATATTAATCAGTTGAACTAATTACTTAACACCCTTCACACTTATTATTATATTTTTATTTGTATATGTAACTAAAAAGAGATTATCATCTTTATAAGCTTTTTGCTTTTTAAATTCTCCATTTCCTTATTGTTGTTTAGTGAGTCATGTTATGTTACTTTGAAAGAGGAAGGAAATTAAAAAAAAGAAAAAAGAATGGAGTTAAATAACCTTTTGGTTAAGATGTTTTTCAATCCGAAGATCCTGAGTTTAAACTCTACTCCCTGAGCCTCAAAATGAGACTTAGTTTAAAGACAGAACTCACTAGCGTTCCTGATTTTAGTTTTTTCAATCCTTGTGTAGAATAAGCATAAATAGACATGTCTTCATGGTTGAAATATCAAAATTAAAAGTGAGTTCAACTCTCATTTCATGGAAATGTGAACAATTTTTAATGAAATATAAAACCTGTATATGAAATAATTGCGTTTTCGTGGTGTGCTTGAGTAAGGCACTTTATCTGCATGCCATGAGTATGAGTGGGTACCTTGCAGGGTTGCTGACTCATGTGGCACATTGGCCCATCTTCTAAACAGTCAGTCACAGACCAAATGCACCTCTAGGCTCTAGGGAACAGATTGGCAAAGTGCGGCTCACATCTAAGTTTGGGTGCGGCCCTCTGACCCATTTTTATGCCTATGGTATGGTGCCGTTTTTAGAATGAATGATAATTGAGGTAACTAACACTGAACAAAAAATGAAATGGCATCCATATAAATTGTGCATAGCATTGACTAGACAATAATGTCCCATAATTTAGTTTAGTTTTAAAAATTTAGCACTCCCTGAGCTCCCAGCACCCCTCATTTTGTTATTCGACCGGTAAACATATAAATCCCAGTCTGACTTGCACTGACTACAGCAGCAACTTAAGCATATGGACTAAAAAACCTGAGAAAAAATTGGTTTTTGTTTGAAAAAAGGTGCAATATAAGTAAACAAATATTATAATTATCTAAGCATTTTAAAACCACAACAAATTGTTTTATTTCTTAGCCACCAGCTGCTTTACTTAATTACCTTCAGCCCCCTGTTGAGGATGACCATGCATTACGTGTCCTGACCTTGTTTGCTAATGTAACCAAAGACTCGCAGGTGAAGGAAAGAGTTGAGGAATGGAAACAATCCAGGAAACTTAAGAAGCCATCTGAACAGGACAACAGTTCATCAACAGAAGATGTCAGAAATGATCCGGACCATGTGCCCAGTTATTCAAAGCATCTGTCAATGATACAAGAAGAGGAAGAAGAAGTTGATATCACCGAAAACAACTCAACCGTCCGCCCGGCCACCTCTGTACAGAGTATCGATCTCATCCCAGATAACACACTGTACGACATGGTTCACGGTAACTCGTCGCTTAGTCTGAGGTGTTATGTTATGATGCTGAAATTATATGACCACGACGAGATTCAAGTACAAGCTAACCGACTGTGGAACTACTTATATTAAGAGAATCGCAGTCTTTTTCTTTGCTCTGACCAACATTTTTCAAAATAGTATTGCCAAAATCAGTCTGATAATGATTTAAAATTTTGTACAGATATTAAAATACTGTTCCTTATAAATCTTGTAAATATAATTCAAAGGAATAAAAGAGATCTACTGTATATCTATATAAATTTGAAAGATCACATGTTTTGTGTATTTGCCATGTCTTTATTTTATTTTATTGCTATAACATGGGGAGATAATATACGTATAATATACGCTGGCTAATATTTGCCTTGATTGTGATATTGTGTGTGTTGAAAGGTATGAAGCCAACTTTAATACAATAGTAATATTGTTTGGTACCATTATTCATTTTAATATTTTTATTGTTATTAATATTATTATTATTATTATTATTCATATCATTATTATCATTATTGTTAATATTATGGTGACTATTATTTTTTTCTTCCAAAAGTACAGTATTATAAGATGAGATCATGCCCCCAATTATTTTTTTGCATGTTGTAAAAAAATTTGTGGACCCAGTGTTGAATGAATGTTGAAGCAGTATGCTTAGTTTTGGTGTGCTTTCATTCAGAACACCTTGATCATACAATTGATTATGATGCATCTTCTAACCATATTTCTGTTCAGTTCTAGCCTGCTCATATGGACATGTTTTTAAAAGGTAAAGGTGGTTTTTAAAAGATCAGTGTGTGAGGGAACAATAAATAGATGGGACTGCATATTTTGAATTGTACATACTTATGTAAGAAAATTGGTATTTTGGCTGTCAAAACAGTTGATCTTTCCCCCTTTGAATCAATTTCACATGAAATGTGTCTCTTAAGATAGTTTTCAAAGCTGTCTGTAAATATATTTGTGAGCAAACTACTCAGACACTACTTGACGCCCTGTATTGACGAATAACCTTGATAGCATGTTGTGTCTCGTAGCAACTCAGCAGCTAAACTTTCCACCTCATCAACCCATTTTGCAAGCACTTATTCTTTGATATTCGATACAGAATCAATTATACATAATGACGAGACTGTAGGTACACTTTTTCAACATCTATTAGTAATTTCTCATGCTCGTAACATATCTTTTAGTTGTACTTAATACACAGCATGAGCGTTTTCTTTGAACAAATACTGATGTTCTATAAATATGCCACAATTTTATTATTACTTTTTTATCTCCGACAATGTAGACTAGTTGTCTTTTATGATGACGTCGTCTGTGAATTCTGTGCCGGCCAAAAATTGCATGTGGCTAGTCTAGTAGTCAGTTTTTGTTGATTAACATAAGTTTTACTTTAAAAAAACCCTTAAATTGATTGTCAGCCAATTCAAGGGTCTATGCAAAAGAACATAGGTGAAAGTTAAAATGTATGTTAGATTTTGTTTTTCTAATTTTCAAGTGAAACCAATAATTTATTTTGGAAAATGAAATTAGTACTGTTACAAGTGGCTTCGTTGAGTAAAGGCCAACTCAGACAGCGTCGTACGACGCAGCCCGACGCGATCTGTTGTCGCGTCGGGTCTGTGTGAGTTAAACGCAGGCGCGATGGTGTGCGTCGGGGGCAGTCGCGTAGTAGAATATTAAACATGCTTAATATTTCTCACGACGGCTTACAACTGTCCCCGACGATAAATTGGGTCGGGCTGCGTCGGCCAACGCTGTCTGAGTTGGCTTTAAGTATAATTAACTTTGAAAGGAAACTTTTATAATTATATGCAAGCATAAACCTGCCTACATGCTGCTATACAGTTTTAGTACATAAAAAGAGTCTGTACTTTTGTATTATTTCTAGCTTAGTTTTCTTTTTTGTTTTTTTGTACTGAAGTTCTAGTACTTAATTTTAACTTTCTCTTTGATCGGTAAATATTTCTCATTATTACGGGAATATAATTCTACAGTAACTTAAATCTGGCATTGGTATGATAAAATTAGAAGAAACAGAGAGTAGGTTTTAATTTTTACCCATTATTTATCCAGCCAAACTACTCTATTTAATGTATATTTGTTATAAATTCATTACTACATAACTGATTACAGTACCGAAAGGTCCACTGATTAATCTCAGATAAGAAAGTATAATACATACTCCAAGTATTGAAATACACGCCATCGTGTTGGGATTCAATATTTCGACATTAATTATGTCATCTCTGATTACAGTACAGTATGTACAATTTCTTTTTAAAAAATTCTGAAAATTGAAAGCATCTTGCTTTAAACATTTTCAGATTTAAGTCTTCATACATCAAATTACAAGAATTATTTATATAAATATATTACAGTGATGGCATCTTGTATTCTCAATAGACCTTTCCACTAAGCTCCGCCCCTTGGATTTTGTTGCTAAGGTCCCACAAGATGGCAGTGTTAAAACATACGCGAACACGTGCGCTTGTGGGGCAACATGTGTGTTTGTGAGACGCGCGCGTATTTCTAGCTCTGTTCTGATTAGTCAGTTGTTAAGTTTGATTGACACTCCGGAAAGGTCTATTGGTTCAAGGATAGGATCAGAATACTGTATAGTGGTTTTAAAAATTCATTAATTATATTCTGTGGTCTCCCATGTGCAATATTGTTACGCTTTAAAAAATAAAATGTTGCTGTTTATTCTGCTGAGATGTTAAAACAATAAAAGCATGAACGAAAAACTTGTCTCTTGCATGATTTTTGAAATCAAAATAAAGACATTAGAGTGGTCCACATACAGATGAAGACAATGGCTGTAAGTATTTATGTTGTAGTAATGGAGAACTCATTTTCAAGACTGAAATTTAAGTAGCTTGAAGAAGTAGACTGGAGATTTGATGCAATCAGTTGGAAATATAATAAAAAATGATCTCATTTATGGAGGACTGAAATACAAGTTACAATAGCGCACCGTCTTTCGGTTAAGCCGTTGTTCCCGTGTGCATTGATGGCCCATGTGCACGTTAAAGAACGCAGTACACTCTTCGGAAAAGAGTAGGGGATTGTCTAACGGTGTACTGCCCAATCACCACCAGAAGGACCCCACTGGAAATAAGTCATCTTCTAGACTTTCGTGGGCTATCCTTGGTGTTCACACCGAATAAATCCAATCCAATCTATTTCTCATCAGTATTCATTGACTATGTTGCCTGTCACGTGACTCAGTCGATACTCTTCATTACGATATATATAGTCCTATTTATGTTCATTGCTTTTCCTTAGAAAATGTGTACAATATATATGTGTGTATGCTTGTGTATATATTGAAAATATTATTAATTATTAGTAATTTGTTGCGATTATCGATTGTACAATTTTGTTTCTTTTCCGATAGTGTTTCAAATATGTAGAGTATGGCCTATGTTGTTTAACATATATGTTAAACCCCTCCAAAACTTCACATTGTCTTCCTTTCCAGATTCATACTTCCCAGGCCAAATTTTCCCATATTAAAACTACGCAACTTGGAAATTAAACCATCTTCTTCAGTTGAAAATTTAGGTGTTATGGATGAGACCCTTTCGTTTAACCAATATATTAATTTAATTTGTAAATCCGCTAACTATTACCTCCGCAACTTAAACAAGATTGTAAATACCTCAACCCGAATTCAACGGAAACACTTCTTCATGCCTTTATTTCCTCGAAAATTTGTTATTGTAATTCATTTTTTTGGCCTCCCTTCTTATTCCATTAAACATTTACAACGAATCCAAAATCAATATTGAATCTGTCTCTTATACACATCTAGATGTGTATAAGAGACAGCATTTATACTCCTGGGTGGAGAGAAGCAATGCAGATAAAGTGCTTTGCTCAAGGACACAAGCGAAATGCACAGCGATGGATTGAAACCCCGACCTCAAGCTTGGGAAACCAAACCTTTCACGCTGCGCCAAACCGCTTCTATAAAATGAAGTTGGATTAAACATCGTCCATCTCCGACAGACAGAAACCATATGACCGAAAGTCCGCTGATTAATCTCAGATAAGATAGTATAATACATACTCCAAGTATCATAGTAGTACCGGTAGTGAGAGAGCAGCTTACCTCAGTCGGCACACTGTGTGTGCGCCGAACCGTGGAGATCTCTAGGTCCACGGTTCAATTCCCATCGCTGCCTCTCCTTGTGTTTCACCTAGAGGGCTGAAATACAAGTATACAATAGTGCACTGTCTTTTGGATGAGACGTTTAAGCCATTGGTCCCGTGTGCATCTATGGCCCTGTCTCTTATACACATCTAGATGTGTATAAGAGACCTGTACGACATGGTTCACGGTAACTCGTCGCTTAGTCTGAGGTGTTATGTTATGATGCTGAAATTATATGACCACGACGAGATTCAAGTACAAGCTAACCGACTGTGGAACTACTTATATTAAGAGAATCGCAGTCTTTTTCTTTGCTCTGACCAACATTTTTCAAAATAGTATTGCCAAAATCAGTCTGATAATGATTTAAAATTTTGTACAGATATTAAAATACTGTTCCTTATAAATCTTGTAAATATAATTCAAAGGAATAAAAGAGATCTACTGTATATCTATATAAATTTGAAAGATCACATGTTTTGTGTATTTGCCATGTCTTTATTTTATTTTATTGCTATAACATGGGGAGATAATATACGTATAATATACGCTGGCTAATATTTGCCTTGATTGTGATATTGTGTGTGTTGAAAGGTATGAAGCCAACTTTAATACAATAGTAATATTGTTAGGTACCATTATTCATTTTAATATTTTTATTGTTATTAATATTATTATTATTATTATTCATATCATTATTATCATTATTGTTAATATTATGGTGACTATTATTTTTTTCTTCCAAAAGTACAGTATTATAAGATGAGATCATGCCCCCAATTATTTTTTTGCATGTTGTAAAAAAATTTGTGGACCCAGAGTTGAATGAATGTTGAAGCAGTATGCTTAGTTTTGGTGTGCTTTCATTCAGAACACCTTGATCATACAATTGATTATGATGCATCTTCTAACCATATTTCTGTTCAGTTCTAGCCTGCTCACATGGACATGTTTTTAAAAGGTAAAGGTGGTTTTTAAAAGATCAGTGTGTGGGGGAACAATAAATAGATGGGACTGCATATTTTGAATTGTACATACTTATGTAAAAAAATTGATATTTTGGCGGTCAAAACAGTTGATCTTTCCCCCTTTGAATCAATTTCACATGAAAATGTGTCTCTTAAGAGAGTTTTCAAAGCTCAATCTGTAAATATATTAGTTAGCAAACTACTCAGACACCACTTGATGCCCTGTATTGACGAATAACCTTGATAGCTATTTGCTAAGCAAGCACCGTTGTGTCTGGTAGCAACTCAGCAGCTAAACTTTCCACCTCATCAACCCATTTTGCAAGCACTTTTTCTTTGATATTCGATACAGAATCAATTATACATAATGACGAGACTGTAGGTACACTTTTTCAATATCTATTAGTAATTTCTCATGCTCGTAACATATCTTTTAGTTGTACTTACGCAGCATGTGAACAAATACTGATGTTCTATAAATATGCCACAATTTTATTATTATTACTTTCCGACAATGTAGACTAGTTGTCTTTTATGATGACGGCGTCTGTGAATTCTGTGCCGGCCGAACATTGCATGTGGCTAGTCTAGTAGTCTGTTTTTGTTGATTAACATAAGTTTTACTTAAAAAAAACCCTTAAATTAATTGTCAGCCAATTTAAGGGTCTATGCAAAAGAACATAGATGAAAGTTAAAATGTATGTTAGATTTTTTTTTTCTAATTTTCAAATGAAACTTTGTTGAGTGAGTATAATCAACTTTGGAAGGAAACTTTTATAATATATGCAAGCATATACCTGCCTACATGCTGCTATACAGTTTTAGTAAATAAAAAGAGTCTGTACTTTTGTATTATTTCTAGCTTAGTTTTCTTTTTTGTTTTTTTGTACTGAAGTTCTAGTACTTAATTTTAACTTTCTCTTTGATCGGTAAATATTTCTCATTATTACGGGAATATAATTCTACAGTAACTTAAATCTGGCATTGGTATGATAAAATTAGAAGAAACAGAGAGTAGGTTTTAATTTTTACCCTTTCTTTATCCAGCCAAACTACTCTATTTAATGTATTTTTGTTATAAATTCATTACTACATAACTGATTACAGTATAGTATGTACAATTTCTTTTTTAAAAATTCTGAAAATTGAAAGCATCTTGCTTTAAACATTTTCAGATTTAAGTCTTCATACATCGAATTACAAGAATTATTTATATAAATATATTACAGTGATAGCATCTTGTATTCTCAATTGGTTCAAGGATAGGATCAGAATATAGTGGTTTTAAAAATTCATTAATTATATTCTGTGGTCTCCCATGTGCAATATTGTTACGCTTTAAAAAATAAAATGTTGCTGTTTATTCTGCTGAGATGTTAAAACAATAAAAGCATGAACGAAGAACTTGTATATTGCTTGATTTTTAAAATCAAAATACAGACATTAGAGTGGTCTACATACAGATAAAGAGAATGGCTTAAGTATTCATGTTATAGTAGTGGAGAACTCATTTTCAAGTCTGAAATTTAAGTAGCTTGAAAAAGTAAACTGGAGCTTTGATGCAATCGTTTGGTAATATAATATAAATTGATCTCATTTATGGAGGGCTGAAATACAAGTTACAATAGCGCACCGTCTTTCGCATGAGACGTTTAAGCCGTTGGTCCCGTGTGCATCTATGGCCCATGTGCACGTACACAGCAGTACACTCTATGGAAGAGAGTAGTGTACTGCCCAATCACCACCAGAAGGACCCCACTGGAAATAAGTCTTCTAGACGTTTCGTGGGCACTGAATAAATCCAATCCAATCAAATCTATTTCACATCAGTATTCATTGACTGTGTTGCCTTTGACGTGACTCAGTCGATACTCTTCATTATGATATATATAGTCCTATTTATGTTCAT